CTAGCCAGTTTTTCTGGCTAACGCGGTCTTTCTGTGAGGATACCGCAAAGTTCCCTGGCTTCGGGCCAATTGTTGCGTAATATAAACAATTCCGAAACTTGGACTCGGTGGTTTTTATGTTGAACGAAATTAGGAAATTTATCGTGTTTTGCTGGAACTGTCGCTAAACGTATTAATCTCGCATGTAGAGGATGTATAGGATGTATAGGACATGGAAGGACGAGGCGTTTTATGTCCCTTTTACATCGCATTTCTCGCGAAGAATCAATATTCTACTGCATTAATTATTTTCTTATGAAAGTACAAGACCGATAAAGTTAGGACAAACTCCAAATTAACTCCGAGTTTATACAACCCACGCAGGAGTAATCATGTTTGTATACAGCGGTAGAGAAAAATCTCCAAAGACGTCGGGGCAAATGCCGAGAAAAAAAAAACGAAGAGAAAAGCGAAAATAACAACTGAGGATTAATTAACTTCTTTTATTCGCGAGCCTTGCGAGAACTTCCAACTTTTACTCCGCAGGAGTGGACTAGAAGTTTTCTGCTCGCTCGAAATACTGATGATTTTTCTTTTGTACTATAAGAAACTACAATTAATTTACTTCACACAAATAAATTCATTTTGCAAAAAACTCAATTTAATATTAACTTGCATTGTGGCATCGTGAATAATTCGATTACGTTCCTGCAGAGTTTCCACAGGAATAAAAAAACCGTCACGAATTTTACGGGTACTAAATGAAATTGCTCGAAACAAATTAATGATTTAAAAGTTGATTCGCGAGGTATAAAAGGCATTTAATTACCCTCAGATATAATTAAAACCAAGTTCCGGTCAAAATAAAATTCGACGTTTACGGAATAATATCCCGCAGAATTTTTTTTCATTTAATAAATCTGAGAGGAAAACGCACGCAACGTCCTCGAGACGCTCCTTTTCCCCTTCAGTTTCCAGGGACGTTTGTCCGATTCTCGCGGAATAAATCCCCATAAGGGAATCGACGAAGACATGTTGCGTGAGGCAGGATATCTCCTGGATATCCTACGAAGATCCGCAAAGGCTTTGCACATCACACGAAGGAACATAATCGCTACATTGTGTGTGTGTGCGTTTTCTTCTTGATTTGTTTCTTCTTCTCCATCGCGAATGTAGGTATTAGATTCGTTTCGGCGAATGCGAATCGATTGGTATTTATTGGAGCTCGCAATTTTGATTAACATATATCCTCGTGTCGCTCATAATCAATTAGATTTCGGTATTAGCGAGGGCGAGTGTGCGCGTCCCTCGACCCCCGGCCAATATCACTTAAACGGGTTGGATATAACACACGTGTCCTTTCGACGTTCGGGGGCCAATCGATGATGATGTGGAGGTCCTGGTGACACGCCACAAAAGGCCCGCTCTGCACGGAGTCTCCTGCTTCCCCTCTGCTAGGGATAGAGGATTTTTTTAATGCAGTTGCAGTCGAATAATCTCGGCTTAAAGTGGAATTGATTTTGTTCTTTGATTGTTAGCATTTAATGGAGAAGTTGAAAGGGGATGGTATTATTGACTTATTAAGGATGCGGTAGGTGATTTTGGCGTAAGGAGGTAAGGGTTGTTTTAGTGTAATTTGGGTGTTTTCGGTGATATTTTCTAACATTGTCTTTTAATGCATACGTCTTAAGAACAGTTTTTCTTCCTTAGAGCAAAATGTCTGATTGACGCAATAATGAAAACCTGATTTAGAACTTCCTCTCTATATCTTTTACTTTGCTTCATATTTAATCATCTCTCCTCCTCACCTCCCTTTTCTACTATTCCCTATCCTTCGTTCCTCTACCCTTCCTTTCCTTACTCTTCACTTCCTATTCTTCTCTTCTCTATACCTTTCCCTTCTCTATCCTTTCCATCTGTATCTTTTTCTTCTCTATCCTTCCCTTCTTTCTAAAATTTCATTTCACGGATCATAGATCATGGGGGATATTTAGATAATGGAATTAAAGGAGGCACCGTAGAGGTTTATCTAATAATCTCGTTACGATGAATCACGGATAAAAGTACACGGCATCGAAATCGGATTTGTATCGATACCCAATGAGTATAATTCGACGATGGTAATTCGGTTGTATCGCTTCGATACCGACTGTATTTTGCATTGTTTCATCCAGTAATTGACTAGTAAATGGTAAAAATATACCTCATCAGAAAATTAACTTTGTAACGTCATCACTTTATTAGAGTAAACGCACTATATGCACGTTATTTTGGTATAATGTTTTTAAGGGAAAAATTATGGCGAAATTGTGGCAAAAATAACAGTATTTATGGCGGAATTTTCGGCATTTTACAAGCCCTTTTCGCATATTGATCAAGCGACAAGGCAAACTTGATTAGAGCGCGCACACACACCTGCCGCAATATAATATCATTGACATCCCGGTTCGCCATGAATGACTCAACCAGCGCCGCATGTAACTGAATTTCCACTGTGAGGGAAATTTGCCGTGAAATTTCCACGTCAAATTTTACTTATCCAAGTCGATGTATCCGGTTGACTGACGAAGATTTATACCGGCATTGTTTTCGCCGGGAATTTAACGGGTTATCGCTTTATTAAAGCGCGATTTTTGTACCTATATGAGCCCGAAGAAGGTGGAAAAGTCGGTTTTTCCTTTGCGCATAACGAGAAACTTTACATAAAAGGAAATTTTCGGGAACGTTCGCCGGTAAATCACAAGAGATTGTGAACTTTCAAAATGAAAACGACTAAAGTTTTCACGAACTAAGCGAAAGGAAATTTAAAGAGTTTTCCTTTTTTTGTGTTCTCGTATTCCGCATCGACTTGCGCGATGAAAACACGCAAATTCCGGTACCGATGCGGAAAATATTTTCGTTTTTTCCCTCAGAGAAATCCAATCGCCGAGACCTAACGTATTCCTAAGTATTCGCTAATTAACGAGCATCTTTTCCACCGGAAAAATAGTGATTTCAGCGAACCTTTTCAATTTTCCCCGCACTCGCCGCCACGGGCGATGCGGCAAAACTCTTTGTTTTCCTCAAAAATTGTTTTTTCGATGAATATTGAATGATACAGTATGTGCAAAACAATCGATGCACGTCCCTTATGATTTACTACGCTTAACAATTTAGTAAGAGATTCAGTAGGGATTGTAATCGCAAATAAACAAAACCACCGCCAGATGGAGTTATTTCGCGGGCGTTTTTTCTTCTCAACATTTTTCTTCGCAACAGCACCAACCCGATAACAATTTATCAATGTTGGTACAACTGTCTGGCGTGTCGCGGGGCCCGAACACTTCAAACTCCGCGCCGGGCGGGAGATCCGCCAGTTATTTATTCTTCTGCGGCGAACATCGGTTTGTCTAAGACGTTTCACGTCCCTCGAATCTTTTCAATATCTCCTCGAAGAGGAAATGGAATAGAAACGATACGCCCGGAACGGGTTCGACGACGCTAATTTAGTTTATACTCGGGCGATTTTCCTTCGAATGCGGCTCTATTGACAAACGTCGGTGCAGGGGATGTTTTTAGGAGTGTATACTTTTCCATTTTCGCTTCGATATCAACGGAGCATATTATTTATATGTAGTAAAAGATGTAAGAGAAAAGAAGAGTACCTGTTTGAGTGATATTCATTTGACCGTGGATTGTGTACCATGAAATATAAATAAGTTAAGGCTTAACAATGGACGTCAACAATTTCTTATTGGGGATAGTGAATATTTATTCTCAATTTGTATACTCGATTTCAAAATAAAATTGTTCACGTTTATTTTGATTCTGTTCAGTCTCAACATGCAATTACTGTATTAAAATTGCATACGCAGTAACTGCATAAATTGCAGTTAAAGTGTGTTATAATTCACCTACTCAACTTTAGTTTAGACTTTTTAAGTACGCCTGCGGAGGCCGACGGGCGAATTTCTCGGTTAATAGCTTATAAATGTTTTTAGTGAGGAGATAACGAAGCCGTTCGAAATTACTTCGCGTGTTCGACAGGGCGAAATTGACGGGATAAGAAGGCAACAATAAAAGAGCACTTAGTCGGAAAACGCAATAAATAAACTGGTCGAAGTTTAATGCAACAATGTCATTATCTGATAAGTGCAGGAATTCAAATAGACGCGAGCACCTTTCCCCGCGACTTCCCGCTCGTTGTTTAATTGAAAGTGCAGTTGCGAACAACTAAATTGGTGCATTTTTCCCTTACGCCGAAAAATAGAAAATAAATTCGAAGACTCCGCTGGGGACGATGCACCTGGGGGATGCAATTTAAAGAAGGAAATCGAGCGAGGCGATGTTGATGGCCGTTTAATTAGCGTTTTGCGCGCTTATTAGCATATTTTTAATTAAAAATTGATGTCGCATCGAAGCTCTGATGCCATAATTAAAAATGCGCTACTTTCCAATTGGAATTTCGAACTCGATTTTATTTTCATATAGTGGAATTGTTTTTCAAATGGAAAGCTGCAGGAAACAAAACTATTAGGATACCTCTAAGCCCTTTTAAAACGAATTGAATACATTTGAATTATACAGAATAGACCCGGCTTAACAAGAAAATAAAATATCTAATTGATGTTAGTATAATGCACCATTAGTATGAAATAGCAAAGGGACTTCACTGAATACTGATAAAAATAAATTATCCATAACGTAAAATAATTATCCCCATATTCTCCGTGTAGGTAATTCATCCACTACAAGTATGTAATTTCTTCCAATAGCAGAAAAACGAGCAAAAATTATATTACCCCGACACCTATTAAGATTATTTCGCACCTTTCCCAGAGCCTCACCGGCAATCACCGGCCGAGTGTTTATATAATTTGCATTGGATAAACGCTAAATAATCGCTCTTTCGAATCTCGACTCGTCCGATACAACAACAAAAAAACCAAGAAACACAACGAGGTGTTAATAAGCAGTTACTCGCCGATACGCCAACAAAAAAAGAATAATCCCGCGAGGATAATAAATGCGCCCGTTGAAAGGGAAACCCGATACGTCCGTTTACATCGTCCCCATTAAAATTAAAACATACGTAAGCATTTTAGTGGATTAAACCTCCCCCCGAAAGTCTCTCGCGACCCTTGCGCGTAACTCGATTCTCCGACAACAACAAATTTGCATTCTACACTCAATTTGCGACTGGGAATCACACGTGCACAATGGAATCTTCGAGAACCGAGGTCCGCCGTACGCAAACATCACGGAGAGATGATACACGGGAGGGGACTGTTAATGAAGGGCCCCCGGTTCAATTGCCGCCCCGGCCCCCTCGGGGCCAGAGCGTAAAGAGGAGCGTGTAATACGAGCGGTGTTGAAGGGTTGGGATGTATAGAAAAAAATTGGTTTAAAATTTTTCGGGTCTGATGTGAATGCCTAATTTATTAGATCTATGATGAGAAATAGCTCGATACTAGCTCGATAATAGCTCGTTTTTAACAATTTTAGCCTGAAGATAAAGTTTTTGGAAGGCGAAATATCGATGGTCGTCTTTATAAAATTCATTAGAGATTGGACATTTTCCAATCATCTGATTTCTTTAGCATCCTCTCCGATCGTAATATAAATTTAATTGAGGTAGAATATTTTTATAGTCGATATGCAAAACATTTCCTTAATGACATCATTAATTTAGACTGTAGCTTTTCCTCCTCTCACTCCGGGCGCAAAAACTCTCCCTCTCCCGAGCGATTTCTCTTGAGCATTCCCCGTAATTATTTTCTAAAAAGGAAATCCTTTTAAAAAGTTTTTCCATAAATCAAGTAATTGAAAACCTATAGACGGTTCCGCCTTTTATTATGAAATTTATTCGAGAGCACGGAGTGGGCTTTAAACATTGGTTTAAATATTTATCGGGAATGGAAGCCCCGCCGGTACGGAAATGGAAAAATGTTTTCCGCCAGTTTTGCTTTTTTGTGTGGAAAACTACTGCTACCTACAATCGATCTCGAAATTCTGCTAACATTCTTTTTTTTCAACTCGAATTGTTTTTGATCGAAATTGTAGTGCTTGCAAAGGTAATTGAATACTGTTTGAAAATTTTAATTAAATCGAAATATCAAAGTTGCAGTAAATTTGACTGGCTGAGTTAATTAAATATTTTCGAAAATGCTATATCAATAATACCTAGACAGCGATATTATAAATTACATATAGGTATAAAATAAATTTTTGTACAACATATAATTGACTTTGGAATAGAATGCACCATTAAATATTTTTATGATTCCGCATAATAAATCTATATTGATAAATATTAATACCAAAAACTCGCCAAGCCCCAGAATATTATCTTAGTTAAATCCGCACCGAAGCCGAAGGAATTAACAAAAGTCTCGCCGTTCATTAACTTCCTAATTAGTTCGTCTGGAGCTTCCATTATTTTTTCAAAAAGACTCCCAACTAAATATTGTAATACAAAGGCGGATGAATTCATTAAACGTCGTAAATGCAAGGCAAACAAACTCGGGAATTCTCTTCGGGCCTCGGTCTATGCCGGCTTTTAGTACGGTTTTCGACGGCCCAACAGGTCGAAATTAGACGAATCGCATCGCCTTTTTGAACCCAGCAGTTGATTCGCGCAAGTAAAACACAAAAAGCAATTAAAGCGTTGTGCGAAAGTTTCTACAGAGGGAAAAAATTAAAGCCCCCGGCGTTCGGGAGCACTCAATATCATGCAGCCCGTTGCATATGGAATAAAGGAATAAAAACCCGGAAAAATATCCGGAAAACGAGTCGTGACTGAAATCGTTACGTTGTTTGTTTCTTCCCTACTCTCCCCGTGGAAATTTCGCTTCAATGAGAGTACTTGGGAGAGGAAAAATGAAGGAAACCACGACACATTATACAGCAAGGAGAAGGACGTAATCCCTTTGGGTTGCGAGCCGATCGCGATGCAATATACCGTGACGTTACGGAAAACGAAACGAAACGAAAGATGGAATTTATTATTTCATATTAAATGTCAGTTTAAAGCTAAAGAGAGAGATTTCTATCTGTAACTGTTCTGGCTAGAATAACGTTGGTTAGACACGAAATTGCGCCGGGTCTGTTGGGACACGGCGCGGCGCTAGATTTATTTTATTTATACAAACTCAGGTCCGTGTTTGTGAATATTTCATAAATGCTTGGATTTATTAAATAATATTATTGTAAGAAAATTGACTCCTTTTTTGACTGTTTTCGATTGAAAATCAACTCTCTTTAGTACAAATAACCCAATGTTTTAGATAGAGAATTGACTCTCTTCTGATAAATCGATTATTCAATAGATAATTGCATCGAAAGCAATCTTTTATCATTCACCAATAACTGTCGGCAAAATGCAATACATCCTAGAAACGTCCCTGATAGTGGCCTTTCTCCTACAGCTACACAACTTACAGCATTCTTCCTGACCGAAATTTTTCCATGGGAATTCCTTTCGGGCGATCGTCGCTTCGTGATCGTGAGCTCGAATTGCGGACAGCGAACGATCGTCGACGGAAGAACAATTTTATTTCGAATAAGAAAACGATTGACCCATAAATTTTTTCTTAGTCAAAATAGCGATTTTAATTAACGCTAGCATCCCAAGAAAGCCGTTGGTATTAAAATTCCCGGTGGGAAAACGGCCGAGATCAAATTTGAATTAATTGAATCGGATATAACGGCTCATAAACGGAGACCCTACCGTGCTAATCGGCTCCCAGCAATGCGGAATAATACAAATCTAAATTCCCATTTGTAATGTACGCGCGTACGATGTATGTATGTAGTTATGCACAAGTTCTCCCGGACAACCAGTTCTTCGAGATAATAAAATTTAATTCGTTCGTATAAATAAAATAATTAGAATTGAACTAAATCATTTTCGAATCGATTTTGGTGTAGGCGTAAATCGGAAAATGGCCAAAACGTAATCCCGCCCGCGCGCGTGATGCAAATATATATTTAATATTAATTCATTAATCCAATTTCGAATATATATTAATAATAAATAATCATTATGGAAACGGGCTTAATCTGAAATATCGATGGGACCGAAATCGAAATGCACGTCCGACCGAAATGCCCGTAAATTTATGCGGAAACTCTCATTTTGATACGGATTTATTTGCGAAATCTTATGCGGAACACGTTGTTTGGTTCACAATAAATATTCCAGTTGAATTTTATATACAAACATATACACACAAATACGAATCTATCATTTTACTATACCATTCCAGCGGATTTAATTTTGTTCAAACATTCTCGAATTAGAAGAATTAGTAAATTGTTGTCAATCAATTGTAACGATTTGTGATTTTTATCTATAATAATCAATTATTTAAATTCAAGAGAGTCAATTATCTATTGAGTCAAAAGACAATACTTAGGAGAGTCAATATTGTAGCTAAAACAGTCAACCCTCTGTCCTCAAAAATGTCAACTTTCTGTATAAAACATCCAATTTAGTCAATTATATTATCTATCTAAAATTGCCAATTATCTACCTAAAAGAGTCAATTTTCTACACTTAAAAGAACCAATTTTCTATGAGAATTTCATTAAACAATTTTCAAGAGAGTTACTCTAATGTTCATTAATCAATTATGTACCCTAAACCGTATTTTGCCCGAAGTTTATGTCATTACCTAAAAGCAAATAAACACAGAAATGCAACAGCAAATACGCAGGCAAAATGCATTATTAATTTTCCGCCCTGTTGAATCGGTGTTTCTCTTTCGTTTAAAATTATTCAGCTATTTACCTTCCATACATCTGAATTCGAAAATTCTCCATTCGCTCACAGACAGGCGCCTAAATAAACAATTCGCAACGGTAGAGGTGAAAAAATTATAATTTTATTCCGCATCGAAACATCGAGATTCGGGTACAATCGACCTCCGTTCACCCATTTCCATATATTTCTACATCGACCGTATCATCTCCAAATTGTCTCCGGGTCTACCGTATACAGTCGAATGGACCCTAATTAATTTATGGCTTTTCATGCGACCCCTTCGCTTGATCTGGAATATCGAGGGGAACGTGCAATACAATTAACAATAACGTTTACCTACTTCAGAAACCCGGCGAGCCGTTCCTGGCTTCCATTAATTAATAAGATTATTGCAGGGAAAGGGGTTTTTTTCTATTACAATTGGGCGCAATAGTGTTTCTGCTACCTGAGTTTGTAAAGGGTTGATTTAAATACATACTTATATGGTAAATTAGACTGAAAATTGAAAAAATAAGGATGGATAATTGACTGTTTCAGTAAGAAAATTGACTGTACTGAATATTGGATGTAGGATTAAATAGAAAATCGATTAATATGACTGTTTTAGGTAGAAAATCAACTTTCTTGATTTTCTAGCTAAATCAGACTATTATCTATACCCAAAAGAGTCTATTTTTATATAAAACAGTTAATTTATTCAATTATCTATCCCTAAAAAAGTCAATTTTCAGTATAAACCAGTCAATAATCTGTGTTCAAGAGAGTGCAGTTTCTATCTAATACAGTAAAAGATCTGGCCATCTGAATATAACGTATTGTAGAAAAATTAAAAAGTAATTTTCCAGAACGAAAATACAATTTGTATCCTTCAGAATCCCGGCGATCCGTTCCTGTCTTCCATTAATTGATAAGATAATTACACGGAGAGCTTTTTTCTATTCGTTCTATTTATAAGCGAAACTTATCAAGGAGCGTCTAATTTCGATTAGCTCTTAATTTATTACGATTTTCGTAATCGATGAGCGCCCAGGATAAAAGTCGCATTTCAACGTGATTAATCGCATATTTCAAATTTTTCATAACTCATTTTTCATAACGATATTTATAAGGCAAGTGATTTAATTGTGAACGTTACAAAAAGGTCTCGCTCGTCTCGATCAGTTAATAACAGAAATAATTAAAAAAAATTTATAAATGATTTTATACAATACTTCTTAGTTGTAGAAAGCTAAAGCTCGAAGCTTTTCAAACGAATCTAACGGTTCGATTTTTTTGATTACAGCAGGAGAATGTCGCTCGGCCCTCGGTATGGAGGAAGGGCGTATTCCTGATCACGCTATATCTGCTAGTTCGTCCTACGAAACGAAATCTGTAGGGCCGCAAAATGCAAGGTAAGATTTATAAATAATTATTATAAATAGCTAGTATTCAAACTATACAATGGGAACGCATAATTACGTGTAAATATTTGATCAAAGCTAATTTGCGGTTAGTAATGCAACGTGATTAATTATTTCGTTCGCTCAAACAGCTCTATTAATTAACCGTATATTTTGCAAAAAAAAACAACCTATACTCGGGTACCGAAAATATCCGATAAAACGACGACACTGCATAAATTCCCGGACTGGTAAAACGCGCCCCTAAATGTCAATGTAGCACACTCGACGAACATTTATGGAGGCGCATACTATGTTCCTGGTGGACGTAGGACCTCGTTCCTGACCGTCCTCGGCGTCGGGACGCCCCGCGCCTCTTCCCCCCCGAGGAACATGAATTATGATCTCATATTAAACGATATGGCGACCGGAGAAAACGGGGAAACGGCCAGAGCACATCCTGCAGTCCTGCTACAGTAGCACATACGCGCTGCATCAACTTGAATTAGGTGGACCAAAATTATATTTTCCTCTATTAAAAAGGTGTATTTTCGAGTAAAAATTTAATTAGTTCCTTAGGGAGTTGTAGAGTTTTTGTGGGAATTAGTGATTATTTTTGTTTATTTTTTTTGTGTCCTGTAGGAAGGGTATGGGGGCTACTGTGATCTTTCGGTCGATGTTGAAGTCGCATGTGATGATGGATGTGTCTGCTTGGCTCCGAGCATGGTCTCGTTTTATAATTTTACGTGTTTCGTGTTTTTTGTATCGTTCGAAACGTCCGACGATAAATTTATCGCGGGTAAATATTGAAAATTTCACGTGAAATCGAAAATGACCGCCGCGACCCTTCGATCGTCTATCAAAGGCGACTTTAATTTAATGACTATTTCGAGAAATTGCAAATTCGAACTTTTTTGCCATGCTATGGCGCGTTTGTTTAATTTCCGCTACCCTCCTATTTTGCTTAGGTACACACACGTATATAAGGGTAATTTTTTATTTTGACGCGAAGGGGATGTTGTATGAATGTTAGAGTGTAGATTACGTTTATCAATTGAGGAAAGTTAGGATGCACATGAGTCACGGACAATGATGTTGGGGAGAGTTTTACAATCTAAAAAATAGGGAGAATTTTTTTGATAGTCTCGCGGTTTAATTGCACGTAAAATGCATAGAAATTTATTCGATCAAATATTTACTATATCTGTAGCATTAAAATTACTACATTGTATGCTCCGTTTGCTATCAGGATCAGGGTAGTATTAAAACCTAATTTTGTATTAACTTTGCCATTCCGTAATATTAATATTTATTTAATTTTAGCAGTACCACTCTCTATACGGGATGAAATAAAATTGCAGATTCTAATTCAATAGTGCCTACTATTCATTTATTTCTGCTCGCCTATAATTCAGTGTTTTAAGAGGGTTTGAATATATCTCTTGATAGCGAACGGAGTATATTTTTTATACATAATACCGATGGTTTATTAGTAAAGCAGTTATTTGCAAAGTTAAGTTTGATTAAGTAACATATGAGCATTCCGAATAGTAACTGTAGCTAATTTTAATTACTCCACTCCATCAAATTCGTTTAATTAGAACGAATCAACATTTCGGTCGTAGACAATTACTCCGGCGAATTTATATACATACGTTCGGTCGAAGAGTGAGCATCCGAGTCGTCGCCCCCGGGCCCCCTTTCGGTGGTATTTTCATTTGTTTGTCAGTTTCTATTAGAAGGGGAATTTTCGCAGAGTCAAAGGTTTTAATTTATGAGGTCTTTTGTGTAGATTCGCGTTAGAGCTTTAGCATATTGGCGCCGACATAGGTAAATTGAGCGTAAGTAATGTTGAAGTAGAGAAAAAATTATTGGGAAGAGTGTTGCAGTGGAATAGAGAGAGCATATTATATTTTAAAAAAATGTGCATGATTAATCCTTCCATGCGTGACCCACTGATTAGATGATGAGGCATATAAGGCGTTAGAGAGGGAATTGTTGATCATTATTTTGTTAAAAAACCATGACAAAAATTTGTTGTGTGTGAGTATTTTCGCCTGCTAGTGTATAATGTAAATCCGTATTAAATTCTTCGATTGTACGACGAAATAAATTTTATATGTACCAATACCGGCGGCCTTTTTCTCCCGCTATAACCCAAATTTAACATGTTCGATGAGACCGGCTCGTTTTCATGGGCCGTAAATCAAACCGGGGAGTTTTATAAAAGATGTTTGGAAGTTGGCGCTGTACCGCGTCTCTGTTTCCAACGGCGAAATAACTTTATTATAGAGTATTTTATTCGTTGTTTCGTATATGTTTTACGAGCGCACTTTTCGATACGTGCGAACCGGTTCGATTTTATTTACGGTCCCCGAAAGGCCGGAGATATTAAAAATTCCGGACGAGTTAAATATTTAAATTAAATATACGCGCGTTCGTTTCATTAATTTTCATCAAAAGGTAATGTACAATTTAATTCAATCGACGCGGAAATTTATTCGTTTTCATATCTGTTTTAAAACAAACAGGACGCGGTGATGAAATTATTTATTTTCGGTCAGGTAGCGTTTCGTTAGTTAAAATGCGAGCTTTATTAAATAACAAATAAAGTTGCACGTATACGTAAAACGTTAATCGATTTCTGCTGGTACTTACAGAAAAAAAAAAACTGATATACTAGTTGAATATAACGGGCTCGCTAATGATTCTTCTTTTAATCGTCGAGCAAGAAAAAAATCCCCTTCCGTTTAAAAGCGATTCCGAAACTTACTCAATTAAAAGTTGCCGGGGAGAATCGGAATTGAAATTTCGGTCAACGACTACATTTTAGTCGAGTAGAAAAACAAATCCCGTCTCCACCCCCATCCCGATTTACATCCACTTTTTCTCAATTAAAACTCAAAAATGCGATTTATAAAACGTTAATGAATCCAAATGACGTAATAAATTCTTTTTAATCTACTTCATCATGGCGGGCGCCGTGTTTTTCAATTCGCAATGCAAAACTGACGCCAGCGGCGCCGCGACGCTCATTTTTCTATCGTATTTTACTATTATTGCATGTACTCACTAATCGCTTAGAATGAGGGTTTTAAAACGTACAACATAGTAAATTCACACAATACAAATAGTAAAAGAACATAATTAACCAATCAGTGAATCAGCCAATCAATACAAATTCATTCACATTGTAACAGAGTATGTAGAGCCTTATAGTAAGTATAGTATGCACAGGATAATCTTACGATGACGTCACGACGCTGTAATTTAAACCAAGTTTTCCTTTCGCTTATTCTAAAATCCCAATCGATGCGATTTATATGCGAACACCTTTGTTCAGTATGTAAGGTGATAAGCCACTCGGCTAATTCTCCCTCTAAGAACGTCAATGATGCTCCTTTTCTGGCGAAAGGCAGACTGAAAGTTTGTTCCTTTTGTGCAATATTGAAATCCCCTTTGGAAATCTCCTCAACTTATTCAAACTTGTTAATTAAGAGGATTGTATAAAAAAACCGAATCGCCAGCTCGTCGTTCGCTTCTTCGAAGATTTTGTTTGTGCCGGGCATTGAAAGAGTTCTAGTTCCCTTATACTTTTTAGTGTATTATTGATAAAGTCTACAAAGGTTTTCCAGTTTGTAAAAGGATAATTAATGAACTCTGGACGTTTAGACATCAAAAGAGCTCGCACTCGAACATATTCGGCGATTCTTTTGTATTGTTTCGGGATGAAATTCGAGTTATTTTCGGTTTCGATTAAAGACAATGCCCAAAATCGCTGCTGATAAATACAAATGGCATATTCTTAATTCCTAATGACTCTATTTGATTGATATATTTTTAAAAAACTAATAAAAATACGAGTAGAAATATTTACCAGACCTGATTCTTTTTCAATAGATTCTTTTACAGTACAATATTTTCCCGAAAGTTCTCCAATAGATTCTTCATAATTATATTGTTTAATATATAAACAAGCTTATTTGTCCATTAAATATAGTAAAATAAAGCTCATGCGGGCGCTTTTTCGTTCGGTAACTAATCGAATCGATATACGAATAGTGTTCGTTAGAAGTGATTTCGAGTGGAAGGACAGCCCCGAATTGTTTAATTTCTGAATAGAGTAAACATATAAATCCCTTTTCAAAGGACCAGTCGTGCGGAAAATATCAACAATAATGGAAGTTTCGTTGAAAATAAACAGATGGGCTATTGGGAAACGCTCGGCTTTTATGCATTAGCTAATGCGATGTTTCGAATAGACCAAACAAATAGAGGGTAATTAATCGAAAAAATAGCAAAAACTGCAATATACTCGGCGACGGGAACAATTTTCGTAATTTAACGTTGTGCAGTTTTAATTAAAAGTTCCTCCGGCCGTCCGTTGGAAACTCCTGCATTGTGCTCGAAACACACACTGATGCCTCCGATACCTGGCCTTGTATCAATTAAATTTCACCGCTCCCCCGGGGGCGGGACAGGCCGAAACATCGACGGCGTTCAAAGAAAACATCCCTAACACACGTCGTAATTAATTAAAATCCCCGTACGAGCGCGTATTCGTTCGAATAAATAAAAGGGTAATTTCGAGAAAAATATTTCGCAACCTAATACCATATTACGCGATACCTGGTTAAGTCGAGTCGAGCTAGAGCGCCCTGGGCCGTCGACTTTCAACTTTCAAGATGTTCATTACCTGCTGCGAGTATTCACTGACGACGGCATAATTCCGAAGTAGTGCACACTTGGAGTATACTCGAGCGCATCGAGGGAGTTCGTTCGAGTATGACTCCCCAAACAGCCGCTGGTGCTCTGCTGTCATTCAAATTAGGCTTCGAGGATCTTCTACGTTTACGTCGCGACGTTATACCTATATATCTACCGTACGGAACTTGCAATGTAACGAGGAATTTCGGTTTTAATTGGTATTCTAGTGTGCTTGAAAAAAAGCTTCTTCAGCGTTCCAGTACTGCCAATTGTTATTGCATTTTTATCATTGACTCACTGATTGGAGATTTTATGGTTGTAGTTAATGAGGAAAACGTACTAAATTTTGATTCAAAGTAGCCTTCCTGTAAATACTTAGTATTCAAATTTCCTTTGCATAATATTTACTGGATTCCTGTAAATTACTTCTAGTTGAAATTCGCCTTTATGTTCTATCGATTCGGAGGCAAATTCCACCTACCTGTTTCCTTCATTGTGTAAATTTCGCATTCGAAATATGCCAACGTTTGAATTTAATAACATGTTTGCGGTTATATTTTGTTTCAATGAAAATTCGCCGTGTGCTTTAGGTTATTTGGACAAATAACATTCGAACGCACACACACAATAATTTTATTGTATACGGATGGAATGTATTGTGCGCTATTTAATTTTCCCCGGGTCCGTTTCGAACATAAGAATTCCTCGAATTGAAGCGGGTAGTTTAATTAATATTTAATTTTTATTGTTGGGAGAAAAATATGTGCACTTTT